CTGGCCAGGAGGGATTTTATAGTACTGTACACAGGACAGCTGTTACCCTTCCCTTTATAGTTATGACAAGTAGTCTCACTGAAATCAGTTTAACTATTTAGTGAGTAAGGTGTTATTCAGTGTCAGAAGGTATGAAAGAATCTGGCCCTAAGGAAACAGCAAAGCACCTTTATCTGTGGCAACATCAGTGCTGCAGTCCTTACTCAGAGGAAACTCCCAAGGCCTTCTAGAGAGGTCCTAGAGTGTTTAATTCTTCATAGAGGTCAGAGTACTATTTGTATTTCTGCACTACTAAAATAGCTGCATACGGTCATAAATACAGTGATGAGTTGTTGTTATCACCAGGAGTCCTCCAGACTGTTAGCACAAAGAGGTTGATTAACATGACATCTCCAAATTCCTGCTTATTCTTGCAACCCCACCGCAGATGCACATCTCCGACATTGTTTGGAAAGCCAACAGACTGTCTTGATCACTGGTGACCTCAACAAGAACTTTGGTGGATGCTATATTGATCAGACTCTGGGGCTGTTCCTCAGACAAATACTAAAGCAAACAGTTTCTATCGATTAGCCAAATGGTCTAGCCTAGTGGTTCTCAACCAGGGGTATGCATACCTCTGGGGGTATGCGTATCCTTGGGGGTACACAGAGGTCTTCCATGGGGTACATCAACTCATCAAGATATTTGCCTAGTTTTACAGCAGGCTACATAAAAAGCACTAGTGAAGTCAGTACAAATTAAAATTTCATACAGACAATGACTTGTTTATACTACTCTATATAATATACACTGAAATGTAAGTACAATATTTATATTCCAATTGATTTATTTTATAATTATATGGAAAAAATGAGAAAGTAAGCAATTTTACAGTAATAGTGTGCTGTGAAACTTTCTTTGTATTTTTATGTCTGATTTTGTAAGCAAGTAGTTTTTAAGTGAGTTGAAACTTGGAGCATGCAAGACAAATCAGACACCTGGAAGGGGTACAGTAATCTGGAAAGGTTGAGAGCCACTGGTCTAACTTTCCTATTTTGTCCGATCAATCACAATTAAGAGAGAAACTCACTGGGGGAGTGGTGGAGGTGGTGGCAGTGAACCCTTCTCCGCTCACACAGATATCTTTAATCAGGCCTTTCAGTTAATTTCTGAAACTGTTCTGTATCAGCATCAATGTCTGCAGCAGGATTTTCAGTCTAAGACCCCATCAGGAAAAACCCACATATCTTCCCATTAGCAAAGCAGACGGTTTTGTTTTCATGACGGTGTCTTGTAGCTCTTATTTACAATCTTAATCACATCATTGATTTCAGTAATCTTTCCTGCGCTAAAGAATGGATATTAATTCTCTCAAAGCAGAGCCTGGGTGGGTTTTGAAAATCCAGATAATTAAAATTAAGACAAACAATAACACTCCATAGATCCTTTAAGAATTAAAAACTCCATAAGTGATTTTAATGGCGCAAAGAGTAAATGTGCCACAATATTCACCAGCCTGAAGACCATGGGTACTGTCTAAAGCAATTTACTAAGAGCCAGATCCTGTCATCCTTACTAATGTTTAGTAGTATTTTACTTTATGAGTTGTCCCATTGATACTGCTCATGGAATAAGATACTACTCAATATGAATAAAGGCATCAGAATCTAGATTGAAGATCTTGGGAGTGTGCTACTTTGGGTAGGCTATCTGATGCACTCTCATGCAGATAACTAAGGTTTCTGGGTCTAAGCGGGTCTCATATCTTGGCAGGACCAAGAGCTGTACCACAAAGTTTCTTGTGTAGCTTCTTCAGTCCCAGAGAAAGAAATGATCAATATTTAAATATGAACATACAGCAATTTTTTCCCCATTAAGAAAATCTGTGAAATCCTGTAAATAACTTTGCAAATGAGGTTTATGGAACATTATGATGAACCCAGAACATTGATTAGCAGCCATATATTCTTCTTCCAAGGAAATGTCATTGTTGTTGAAAGGTGATCACAATGTTTAAGAGATCCTTTCCCAAATCCAAAACCTTGGGTAAGGTGGAGGTGAGAGGAAAATAACTAGTTTCTGGAGGGAAAGGAGGATCCAAACTGAGCAGTTTGGGAAGTGAGGAGAGATCACTGGCTAATTTTCCACCCCAGTCTGAAGGATGGATTTACAAGCTTTAAGCCATTGATTTACAGTTCTAAGTTGCACGGTGGAGAAAAATGCGGCTCTGAAAAAGATTAGTCTCCATTTGGTGAATGGCAGCAGAAAAGATGATAAATGGAAAAGCTGTATGGCTATTCGAGAGACAAGGTGGTGACCCACCTTGTGTCTCTAACATGGCAAAGGTGACAGCCACCTGCTGGGCTCGATTTTCCTCACTTGCTTCGGCAAATAAATAAATAAATACAAACTATAAACCTCTTTTGGTGCCGGCTCAAAAGGCATGCCCGGTTTAAAGATAGCCCGGGAGTTCTTATTAATCAATACCCCCTACCGAAGAGAGTGGTGTTCGGCATCAGAACTGAAACAGTATTATTAGAAAATGATATAGTGCGCGTTAGGATGTATAATTCATGTTGCCTTCATTTGCTCAGACCAGCGTAAAAATCCATAAATCATTTTCTCGTTCATGTATTGCCTAAGTGCAATTTGTCATTTTGCATTAGAGGGCTGCTTCAGATCATCAGCGCTTTTAATTCACTGGTTAGAGTTTAACAAAACACCGGCCCTGCTTGACAACTGAGACTGCATAGGAAGGAAGCGCTGTAGCATGTGGCTTAAACAAAATGGAGACGTGTGTTTGATTTACAAACGTGGAGATAACGCACTTATCTGCTACAACTCTGGCACTGTCCTGAGCTGAGAAAAAGAAAACTGATCTGTTTGTTCTCAGAGGTCCTCAAAGTATTATATACTTGACAACCACAGTGTTTATGTGAGCATGCTTCTTTGCTTAACCTAGCAGTTCCAGTGTATGTTTAATGTTGGCTGTATGAGAATTATTTTCACTTGAATATATCCTGGATGACAATAGACAAATTAGTCATATTACTTTAAAATATTTATGTATGCTCCACCACTGACAACAAACACACGCAATGTTTACCTAGACGTGATGAGCTTGCTTTCTTGATGAAAGGCAGTTCCCTTGGCTTCGGTGGTCATTGGTTGTTTAATCGCACAAAGCGGGCGATCTTTAACTTTTGAAGGTCCCTGTTTATTGTCACATCTGGACTTCCTGCTTTTACTCAATTACTTAAAAAAATCGCCTTTCTCGATTCTGAGCACTGAGCTCTGCCACACTGCAATAATAAGAGGTTTTAGATTAGAAACAGATTGCTTTCAAGTCATGTTAAATCACTGCAAGCAGTCATATATCTAGGCGTAAGTTAACAAAGTGGCTCCCTTACAAAGGAAAATAGGATAGAAATTCTGGTTTTGTTGTTGTTGTTGTTGTTTTTTAGTTTGTTGTTACGCATGTAAGGAGGAACTATTGCATTTTAAAGAAAAAATAAACAAAGGGGAAGAAAAATGAACAAATGATCCAAATCCAAAATAAACAGCCTCAGTCATTAAATCATTTTATTATAGAAAAGCCAACTAAATCTAAGAGCCAAACTGTGCTCCTAAAACTTTCGTTTGCAACGGAATGAGAGGTGGGGGAGAGAATTGTTAGTGTAGGGTCGATTTCCCGCCGTGTGAGCACTGATGGGTAACTTTAATGGTTCACCCCCTCTCTAGGTTGCTGCTCTGCTGTAATTACTGCTCCCGTGGAGAGGCAGCACTGTGTTTGTTATATTGCACTTCAAAGCAGCCGTTATTACATCAACAAAGCCATTTGTTTATGTAATCCCTGTAAACTAAGAGCGGTGGACGCTGCCTGTGAAGGAAAATCAGCAGAGCAAAGCGAATACATTAAACCTTAAAGTTGGTGATAAATGCAAAGGAATGCAAAATAAGATCCCAGTTCAGGGCGGGTGGAAAGGGAATTTCATGCGAGATGGAGTATGCTTGGGTCAACATCTGGATGGCGGCTAGATAAAAAATCCATTAAAATTCCCTAACTGCAGCTGCATGCAGAGCTTTGAACATTTTGGATTACAGTCCTGCAAGCGAATACAAAAAGAAGCATATGAATAACCAACAATTGAGTAACTGATGTACTGAATATAAACAGCTATTGAGATAAATAAATTAAAGCATCTTACATCACAGTTTCATCCTTTGGAGACACTGGGGAAATCCGGGAGGAGAGGAGGAATGAAGCCAGCGTCCTGCACAGAAATGCCTCTAAAGAAATCACATCTTGCGTGGAGTGTGCGACTTTAACCGCTAGGAGGAGCCTGCTACCTACAATTGCAAAGCAAACCACTCATCCCTTCAGCTACTACATCTGTATAAAACTTAAGTGTTATAGTTGATGCAGTGATTATTTACAACCAGATCCGTCCATCTATTGTATATCCGTCTCTCTTTAAGATTTCCAGGTTTCAATGAGTTGCCGGCGCTTGTCTCCATTCCCAGATTGTTTGAAACAGAGATTTAATAATCTGCATTGTCATTCAAGTGGCTTTATTTTAGATAAAAGCATACAAAAAACAGAGACATTTTTTTAAATGCACCAAAATTTCGAGGAGGCAGCTAAAGCCCCTTCAAGTTACGTGTCCTTCCTTTCGGATCCTAGGAGTAAAAACGGAAGGAAGGAAAGGGGTGGGGGGGGGGTGGAGGACAAGGATGATATATTGATCCGATGGCTGTATTCATATTCAGATACGCCATAATCTCCTTTTCATTGATCCACAGGTCGTTTTATAAACTGTCTCTCCATTCTCAGCCCCAGACATCACGCTGAAATCATTTTAGCTGCAGCGGCTTTAGCTTGGCTTTGCCGGGTTGTAAATTTACTGCAGCTGGAAAAGGATTAGCCATTTTTTTCTGGTAACCCAGCTTTAACTGCTCAAAGATAGGACCCATTCACATGAAAGAAGCGAAGGAAGGAGGAGGAGAAGACCAGACTGCAATGAATGAACAAGAAAGATAGAAGGATAAATACAAACATTTATAAATACATAGAAGATTTTTTATAAATGAACCTGTATCGAAATGTAATTTCCTCTATTTCCACAATAGAAAAATGCATCTGAACAGACAGCTTGTTGAAATGTATCAAAGGAAGCCATCCTTCTACTATTTTACTAGTTATTATCAAAGATGTGATCACGAATCACTGATCTTACAATAAGTCTCTCTTTCTGCCTAATATTTGGTGTTCCTTATAAACAATAACCAACTAGCAGTTAGCAAAAAGTGAAATTTATGAACATTTCATTCTATTTGTATAAGGTTTAGAAAGTTATATAAATGGAACTTCAATTTAATAAATCGCCGGATATATTAATGTGTCCACAGTTTAGATTTATGAACACTTGTACCAAAATTAATCTATAAATCTTAACCAGATGGTTTACATTTAATGTAGACACATACATACATATCTCCAAAATGCGTGTTACCTATTGACTTTAAATGCAAAACCTATTTATATCAATGCAGAAATTGCCATTGACCTTACTTATCACAGTCTTCTACGCCTACTGTCCTTCCACTATTGTGGGGAGTGGGGGAAGAGAAGGCATCTAGTGTGCTGGTGTTGTACAAGGCGTAAGACTATCCAATGTGTGTTGCTGAAGGGTACTAGTTTAAGTTGTAAAATAGTATTTCAGCAAAGGATACAAAAAGGGATATTGTGTACAGTTGCAATAGTGAAACAGCTACTAAGTAACATTTATCAAAGTGCTTTCCATGTCAGGAAAGTTGAAACAATAGTAAACACCGATAAAAGAATGGTCGTTTGTATCCAGAGCATTTTATTAAATAATATTTTTCATCAGCAAACTTCTATTGACTCTTCCCATCTAATCCTCTTCTCCTCACACACAAACTAATTTCAGATCAAGCACTGTTGACATTTATTCCACTCCATCACACACATTATCACATTCTGCTTTGATTTACATCGTGTACCATCTCTTTCACTTCAGACAGTGAAGCTGCAGAGGGTGTAAATCAGGCCAGGATTTGGCCCAAATGCATGACGGTGTTAATTAGATGAACTAGCAAAAAGTGTAGGCGTGTGATGGAAACTTGCACTCTCTCATTTGTCAACTGAACTAATTATTTAAGGTAGCCCAGAGTAAAATAAGGCACAAGTTTCCCTTGTTTATTTTTAAAAATGTTTGTTTTACCATTGAGCCAGATATAGAGCTGGCCAAATAGGAAAAAAAAAGTTAGTAGCTCATGGAAATTCCTCCTCCACGGGGAAAACTGGTTATTATTGTCGTCTTGGTTTGCATTGATGACGATAGGTGATCTCCCTATTCAGTAACTGCAGCAGGGGAATAGTAACTTTCCGAGGCAGAGATTCCCCAATAAGCGCTTCGGGAGCTGCAGGGTTATTCTCTCTCTCTCTCTCCCTGTGTCTCTCTGTGCCATGCACACAGACCAACTAGAGCTCTGGATTCTCCCCCCTCTCTCCCCTGAGATGCAGCCTGCTTGACGTGCGCTGGATCCAATGGGCTGTCGCGCCTGTGGGCGTTGCTACACATTCATTGGTTGGCAGGAGCAGGGCGCTGCGCAAAAACAGAAAAGCCGAGCGCTCGGAGCTCAGAAACTGCCAGTAGAGATCACAGGAGCTGGAGCCGGGACAGGAGGAGAGCTGCAGCGAGAGAGACAGCGGGAGAGTGAGAGAGGGTGAGAAGAAAAAGCATCAAGAGAAGAAAGACTGATCAGCACATCAGTAAAGAGCAAAATGATGGTCATCATCATAACAATGGCAATAAAAGAAGAAAATATAAATAAAGGAAAGAAAATATAAAATAACAATAATAATTATTATTATAAAGGAGAAAATCCCAGAGAAATTCAGGGAATGAAAGTTTTGGGCGGCAAACCTGCTCTCTGCCTTTTTGATATCAGATCCTTTTGCTGGTCATAATTTTTTTTTCATTTTTTTTCTGCCTTTTTTAGCATCTAAAGAGGGCATGTCCAGCGGTTCCTCCAGCAGCATCCACCCCTCCTGCTCCCATCAGGAAGGCAAACCGAGGACAATCTTGAAATATACAAATTTCCTCTTTGGGATTTGCTGCTGCTGCCTCCACTGCCGCTGCAGCGGTGCAGTGCCAAGACTCTCGGAATAAATAAGAGCGGGCTACTGTGTATACTGTGTGTATAGCTATCTCCATACAGCTCTAGGTATTATTAGTTGGTCATTTATTTCGAAGATCACAGATGAGGTGGGGACGCCTATCTTCTTCGTTTGCTCGGCTTGTGAAATAATCATAAAAGGAGGGAAATGGGGGAGAAAAAAATCCTAATATGAAGCAGAAGGAATAATAATAATAATTAAAAAAACCTAGATCTAAATCCCACTCAGATCCCCCTCCCTCCCTCCACGCACGCACACTGCCCTAAGTATTTTGAGAGGAGGAGGTGGTGGTTTCTGAAGGAGGAAGTGGTGTTGGGGGGGGGGATCTCTTTCCCCATTTGGAGATGATTGTGCTATTCCTCCTTGCCTTGCTCTGGATGGTGGAGGGAGCCCTTTCTCAGCTTCACTACACGGTGCAAGAGGAGCAGGAGCATGGCACGTTCGTGGGGAATATCGCCGAGGACCTGGGCTTGGACATTACAAAACTTTCGGCTCGCCGCTTCCAGACGGTACCCAACTCTCGGAGCCCTTACCTAGAGCTCAACCTGGAGACTGGGGTGCTGTACGTGAACGAGAAGATCGACCGGGAGCAGATCTGCAAGCAGAACCCCCCCTCCTGCCAGCTGCACCTGGAGGTCTTTTTGGAGAACCCCCTGGAGCTGTTCCGGGTGGAGATCGAGGTGCTGGACATCAACGACAATCCGCCCTCCTTCCCGGAGCCCGACCTGACCGTGGAGATCTCCGAGAGCGCCACGCCAGGCACTCGCTTCCCACTGGAGAGCGCCTTCGACCCGGACGTGGGCACCAACTCGCTGCGCACCTACGAGATCACCCCCAACAGCTACTTCTCGCTGGACGTGCAGACCCAGGGCGACGGCAACCGCTTCGCCGAGCTGGTGCTGGACAAGCCCCTGGACCGCGAGCAGCAGGCGGTGCACCGCTACGTGCTGACAGCGGTGGACGGAGGCCAACCCCAGCAGCGCACCGGCACCGCCCTGCTCACCATCAGGGTGCTGGACTCCAATGACAACGTGCCCGCCTTCGAGCAGCCCGTCTACACAGTGTCCCTGCCGGAGAACTCGCCGCCGGGCACCCTGGTGCTGCAGCTCAACGCCAGCGATCCGGACGAGGGCCAGAACGGCGAGGTCATCTATTCCTTCAGCAGCCACATCTCGGCGCGGGCCCGGGAGCTCTTCGGCATCTCGCCGCGCACGGGGCGGCTGGAGGTGAGCGGCGAGCTGGACTACGAGGAGAGCAGCGTGTACCAGGTGTACGTGCAAGCCAAGGACCTGGGCCCCAACGCCGTGCCCGCCCACTGCAAGGTGCTGGTGCGGGTGCTGGACGCCAACGACAACCCGCCCGAGATCAGCTTCTCCACCGTCAAGGAGGCGGTGAGCGAGGCGGCCTCGCCGGGCACGGTGGTGGCCCTGTTCAGCGTCTCGGACCGAGACTCGGAGGAGAACGGGCAGGTGCAGTGCGAGCTCCTACAGGGCGACGCGCCCTTCCGCCTCAAGAGCTCCTTCAAGAACTACTACACCATCGTCACCGAGGGGCCGCTAGACCGCGAGCAGCCGGGCGGCGACGCCTATACCCTCACGGTGGTGGCGCGGGACATGGGCGAGCCGGCGCTGAGCACCAGCAAGTCCATCCAGGTGCGGGTGAGCGACGTGAACGACAACGCGCCGCGCTTCAGCCAGCCCCTCTACCAGGTCTATGTGAGCGAGAACAACGTGCCGGGCGCCTACATCTACGCCGTGAGCGCCACCGACCGGGACCAGGGCGCCAACGCCCAGCTCGCCTACTCCATCCTGGAGAGCCAGATCCAGGGCATGTCCGTCTTCACCTACGTCTCCATCAACGCCGAGAACGGCTTCCTCTACGCCCTGCGCTCCTTCGACTACGAGCAGCTCAAGGAGTTCAGCTTCCAGGTGGAGGTGCGCGACGCGGGCGAGGAGCCCCAGCCCCTGTCCGGCAACGCCACGGTCAGCATCATCGTGGTGGACCAGAACGACAACGCGCCCGCCATCGTCAGCCCCCTGCCCGGCCGCAACGGCACCCCGGCCCGGGAGGTGCTGCCGCGCAGCGCCGAGCCCGGCTACCTGGTGAGCCGGGTGGCGGCGGTGGACGCGGACGACGGGGAGAACGCGCGCCTCACCTACAGCATCGCGCGGGGCAACGAGGCCAGCCTCTTCCGCATGGACTGGCGCACCGGGGAGCTGCGCACCGCGCGCAAGGTGCCGGCCAAGCGCGACCCCCAGCGGCCCTTCGAGCTGGTGATCGAGGTGCGGGACCACGGGCAGCCGCCGCTCTCCTCCACCACCGCCATCCAGGTGATGCTGGTGGACAGCGCGGTGGAGCGCCAGGGAGGCGGCGGCCTGGGCGCGGGGGGTGGCGGCGGTGGGGGAGGGGCGGGAGGGGAGCATCGCCCCAGCCGCTCCGGGGGCGAGACCTCGCTGGACCTGACCCTCATCCTGATCATCGCCCTGGGCTCCGTGTCGTTCATTTTCCTGCTTGCCATGATCGTGCTGGCCGTGCGCTGCCAAAAGGAGAAGAAGCTCAACATCTACACCTGCCTGGCCAGCGACTGCTGCCTGGGTTGCTGCTGCTGCTGCCCCTGCTGCAGCCGCCAAGCCCGGGCCCGCAAGAAGAAGCTGAGCAAGTCGGACATCATGCTGGTGCAGAGCTCCAACGTACCCAGTAACCCGGCCCAGGTCCCCGTGGAGGAATCGGGCAGCTTCGGATCCCACCATCACAACCAGAACTACTGCTACCAGGTCTGCCTCACTCCGGAGTCAGCCAAGACCGACCTGATGTTCCTCAAGCCCTGCAGCCCATCTCGGAGCACAGACACTGAGCACAACCCCTGCGGAGCCATAGTGACAGGTTACACGGACCAGCAACCAGACATCATCTCCAATGGCAGCATATTGTCCAACGAGGTAAGGTTGAAAGGAAATTGTAACACTTTCCAACCCCTCCGCATGTAGCAAGCTTCCCTCAGCTGGGCACGTTCATTATATGTGCATGGCTCCCTGTGCTGCTTTGCTTGTTTGTTATTATTTTACGGTTTTGAAAAATGAGCTTGCTTTTGTTATCTTATGTACTCTTATGCCCCTAATTCTCATTCTCCCTAGGGCTTGCAGGTCTCAACCACTTTCGATTCTCTCTTGTCTTGTCAGTGTCACTGTCAAGCTACACTGCAGTCTTTCCCCAACCCCATCTTTGCTTTCAGTTAATCTCTTGAAGCTGCTGCCCTTCCTTTCCCGGTGAAGAATGTCGCTTTTCTTTGCCCCTCCTCCTTCATAATAGCCTCTTATCCTCATGCCTCTTCGATCATAAATATTTGCATGGTTTTAATCACCTGTCAACAAGATAACCTGACACTGCATAATAGTTTTAGCTGTGATGTACGTTAAAGTGAGTCTGTTGCTTCTTTTCATTTGAAGCATCAGTTGTGCACTAGACAGCATTTCAGAAACTGTTGCATCCAAACTCCCACACCATGTGAATATGAATGAAGCTTGCGAGCTTTTCTACATTAAAATAAGATGATATACTAGTTTCCAATCTTATTTTAACTGTGTGCTGTCTTCTGGGCATTGTTCCTGGCAAAATCACTGCAATTGGCATTAATGAAATTACCAGCACAATGAATTCAGAGTTTTCCTAATGAAAAAAAATAAAGCATATGTATTTGTTTTTAGAAATCTTTGCTTGTACAATTAAGGTGGGAAACCACTCTGGAGTTTGTGAACATCTCTATACTTGGCAGGAGCTTTAATTAACGTGAAAATTAGTGTTCATTAATTGACTTTTTTTGACTCTGCCTTAATAGTTCTTTTGTATACTGAAGGAGAACTTGGAAATAAAACATCACAAAAGAATTTCCATGAAAGCATACATTAAGGCTTAACATTCTCTCTCACCCATTAAACATGTTGTCTATATTGTACTCTTTTGTGTAAAGAATTTCTATGAAAGCATATATCAAGACTTAACATTCTCCTATTAATCATTTTGTCTGTTGTATTTTAACTAATGTGTGGATCAGTACATTATGATGATGTACCACTGAAAGAAACAACAGCTTTCCTTAATACTGATTTGCTGAGTACTTCAAGGGAAGTTAAGATATTGAGTTATATTTTGTTTAAAATTGTTTTAAAATCTTTCAGCAAGATTTTAAATGTTAGCCTTTAGTGTAGACCCTACATCAGATGTTTGTAAAGACATGTGGCTTCTGGTGCCTTTTGAGGGCAACAGGATATCCCATATTTTCTTTTCAGGAGTCTATCTTTCTGATGATTACTCTCCCTTTTTCTCATACAGGAGATTTAAAAAATACACTCAGGACCCCCTGACTCACAATGTGTGGTACTTTACACCACAGGTAGCCCCATTGATTTCAGTTAATTAACTTACAATTGTGGTGTAAGAGACTATTCATCATGATTAAGGGGATCAGAAGTTGGCCTTAAATAACTGAGGAAACCCCTTGTTTATTGATCTGTAGTGCCACTTGCATGAGTAAGGCCACCAGGGTTTGGCCCCTTAAATGTAAGGAAACAATTATTTATGGCCTACCTATAGCTGTACCTTTGTGATGAGTGTTCCTGGCTGTATGTGTGTGCCTTCTGATGTTGTTGGTTGTAAAAATATTGAGTTAAAATAAGTTCCAATTATTTTTTCTAGACAAAACATCAGCGTGCAGAGCTCAGTTATCTAGTTGATAGACCCCGACGGGTAAACAGGTATGAACTCCTTATTCTTGTTTTCTTAATGTAGGAATATATCCAAGATGTATTTTAGCAAGTGTGAGTGGGGATGTAGAAATGTGTTTAGTTCAGATGTAAAATAATATCTAAGCAACCAAAATGTATTTAAAATTATGAATTTATTTAGACCTACCATTAAATAAAATAAGCAGTGCCATGTAAACATCTCTGAATTATTGCTTTTATGAATCTGTTTTAAGTCAGGTGAAAAGAGAGCAAATTCTAATTCTGTACTCGTCTAAAATGCAGTTTAAATACTTATGAGTCCCTCTGTAGATTCTGACAGATAATATTGATTTATCTGAGTGTAAATTTAGCCTTCCAGCTTAAGCAAATGCTACCAAATTATTTATAACAACTACATACAACCCAGGCAGTGTAATAATGGCTACTGTCTATTTCAGTTGGATTAATAATGCCTGAAAATACAAGTTTTGTGTATGATGGACAGATTGGTTCTGCAGAAATAGAGTTGCAGAAAGGAGGCCTGGATGAATGCAGCACCATGTGTGGCCATGTGATGGCAGAAGAATGTTTTATGAGTTCCTCTTCATGTTTATTCTAATAAGATTTTTGATGTTTCTAGTTCTGCATTCCAGGAAGCAGACATAGTAAGCTCTAAGGACAGTGGTCATGGAGACAGCGAGCAAGGAGACAGTGATCATGATGCCACTAATCGAGGTCAATCCTCTGGTAAGTCTGATAACGGAATCTAAATATTTGATCTTTTAATAAGAGAGCCAGAAAGGGCAATTATGTGGTTATAAATAATATAACATGAGTGTTTATAGGTACAGCATATGTATATAATGTATGTATGGATGAATTTACGGTCAACTTGATGGTATACTGAGATAGTCAAGAGATTGTTTCTCAATCCTGACTAGTTTTTGAGAAGTATAGCTGTTTTCTGCATGTTGTTCTGTATCCATTGCTCTTCCTGCACATTAAAGCAAAAGTTGTTGGTATATTTTTATAGCAGACCACAGATTTTTCAACAGCCGATTTGAGGGATTTCAGAGCATTAGGTAACTTTGGTTAATAGTGACTTTAGCTGGCATGGTAGTGTGAAGCATAGTGGGAGTTCCTAAGGGAAAGACTGAACTCTCTGATTGAATGACAGCCAGATTGTGAGGATTTTTGCTGGGATCGGTGGAGATACATAGAGTGCTTTGAATATGTAATGAGTAATACTTTCAGACTTTCTGAGGCTTGATTTGTAATTCAAATAAAGTGACTATATAATATAGTGATGTCCTTGTTAATGAGTATAAGGTATACAATGGTCATCCCTTCAGTCCCAATGAAAGAAAAAAATGTTTAAAAATACTATCATATCATGATTTAAAGCAGATAGATGTGTTTAAACAGTAGAATTATTTCTGCATATATGTTGTTCTCTTTTTGCTCTCATATTAGAGAAAATTCTTTTTGAAAGATAGGCTCTGTGTATTTGGCTGTAACACACACACACACACACACACACACAGTACAGGTTTCAGAGTAGCAGCCGTGTTAGTCTGTATCCGCAAAAAGAAGAACAGGAGTACTTGTGGCACCTTAGAGACTAACAAATTTATTAGAGCATAAGCTTTCGTGGACTACAGCCCACTTCTTCGGATGCATATAGAATGGAACATATATTGAGGAGATATATATACACACATACAGAGAGCATAAACAGGTGGGAGTTGTCTTACCAACTCTGAGAGGCCAATTAATTAAGAGAAAAAAAACGTTTGAAGTGATAATCAAGCTAGCCCAGTACAGACAGTTTGATAAGAAGTGTGAGAATACTTACAAGGGGAGATAGTTTCAATGTTTGTAATGGCTCAGTTTTTTTTTCTCTTAATTAATTGGCCTCTCAGAGTTGGTAAGACAACTCCCACCTGTTTATGCTCTCTGTATGTGTGTATATATATCTCCTCAATATATGTTCCATTCTATATGCATCTGAAGAAGTGGGCTGTAGTCCACGAAAGCTTATGCTCTAATAAATTTGTTAGTCTCTAAGGTGCCACAAGTACACAGAGTACACTCAGCTAATAATTCAGGTAAACACAATGTCCAGTGGTGTGGGAACCTCAGATTAGTTAGAACTTATTTCTCCTTCTGCCCAGGCATTTGCTGCAAGTGTTTTATGAAAGGTGATTCCACACTCCCTCACTTCCCTCCTCTTATCCCCTTCTCACTGATCTCAGACCGGCATTCCCAGAAGCATCAAAGAAAAATGCTTGTCATTTTCCCCATCTTGCCCAGGAGTTGTGGCTGCTAGTTCCCTGCTCTGCGAACATGCTGTGTCTTCTCATGCTCCTGCCACTGTCTTCTTTGCCATGGGAAACCCAGGCACCAGGGGAAAACAGGACACTCAAGGGCCCCTTTATATTGCTGCAAGTCATTAATATGCAGACCTAATGAGACTTGAGAAGAGCCAAGAGTCTCTGGAGCTCCCCGCTCCTTGCTGGGCTTCCCGCTAGTTGAACAGAGTGTCTATTTTGTGTCTGGGAACCTGACAACAAACCAGGTCTTGCCAGAAGTTTACATCTGAACACAGAGCCCCCTTTCATTTTTGGCCTATATATGGTGTATGATTTATTGTTGTCTTAAAAAGCAGTGCATTTAACCTTCCCCCACCCATTCTTTCACACAGTTTCTGATGCAGCAGCAATCAGTGCTAGAGAGTTATAAAAAGCTCCCACTCCTCCCGCCCCTCTCCCTCTGTTTTTTTAACTTAGCTGCATTTCATTTTTTTTTACATTTTACTGCAGCACTCATCTCGATGAACATTTCAATCAGTTTAGTCCCTCAGCATAATGAACGATAATAACCAAACAGGAGAGAAAAGAATAAACAGCTGCATAAGGGGCTGGATTTGAAAGACTGATGGTGGGAATATAATCACATAGTTGCACATCAGCCAAAAGCTATTTTATTTTGGAATCATCCAGTGTTGTTACTATAGTTATGTTTCTGCTTCCCCCACCCCCTCCTCTTTTTTAAAGTATTATAATTCAGACATGAATATTGAAACCATTCTCAAACTTGGCACCAGTTTTCAGACTGAGCCAATTCTTTTTGTTGCTTTTGTTTTACAATGAAGAAAAAAATCTATTTTGCTCTTTTAAAGACATTTAATTTGTGTTAAAATAATAGTTTAATATGATTTATGGGCTCATGCAATTAAAACAGAGATTTGACATGAACAAATGAAATTTGACAATAAGCTTTCTGTCTAATCAGAATTAATATCACAAACTGAAAACACAAACATACAAAATTCAACATCCAATTTTGATGAACTACTACAGTGCATTTAGGATAATTATTTTGCATAAAGATTTTTACAACACAGGTTGTAAATATGTATTTACAAGGTATACTGGAAATTTCTAGAGGGTGTTTTGGATCTATTGGATGCATATAGTAAAGTCTAATATAAATTCTGGGCTGAATCTTGCTGTCATTACACAGACATCGGCACTAGTGATGATACAGAGAAGGAGTTCAGTATTAAACTTTTACTCATACACTTTCAGTACTTCTTAATGAATTATATGAAAGGGTGAGAGTAAATCTTGTTTGAATTTCAATGATTTGAGTGAATATGATGTCTGAGGACATTGCTTCTCAATTAATTTTAAATGTAGCTCTTCGATTTTCAATTCTTTCCAAATTACCATCGAAAACACATTGGTCCACAGAAAGGCTAGCAAAAACAAAAACATGATCTCAGTGAAAAATTATATACGTGCAGCCCAACTGTGCTCTCTTATCCCCTTATGCTGCTTCTTTTCAGCCTTTCTGCTTATATGCTATTATCTACTGTCCTTCCTTTGCATTTGTCTTTTTTCTTCCTCTAGCTCTATATTTGTTTCCTTTTGCTTTCTTCTCTTTTGCCTTTCTTTATATTTTGTTTTTTTTTCTTCCTCATCATCATTTTATCATCTGTCTCTCTTCTTCTCAAGATAGTACCTGCCAGAGAATAGCATCATATTCATGTCCAGAAATACTTGATAAATGGTTCCTACGGCAAAATTAAATACACTCCTAGTCATTTTCACACTGAAGCTGGCTTTGCTTGGAAAGGCATTTTGCACTTCACTTTACATACTGTGTGACTGTTCCTGCTGTTACCAGTTGTCCTGTAGTAGTCCAGTGCCTTGTCAAAGTGACTGTGGAAGAGGTAGTAGTTTAATAATTGTGAACCATGTCACAGATACATATGCATAATGGGAGTCTTTCACTGTGTGATAGTTCCACCATGCACAACTGCTTAGGAGGTATATTGAAGTAAGATGTTACAATCCTTTGAAATATTATAGGCCAGATCCTCTGTTGGTGTAAACTGCAGCTCCAGGGACTGAACCAAGAATTTGACTCATTTTTAAAAAAATCATATTTTCTTAATATTGATTGAATTTAGTGCATGTGAAACGTGCTTGATTCTGTCTGTCTATCTTAATTACTTATATGGTCCCCAGTACTATAGCAGCTGAATACCTCACAATCTTCAATGTATTTATCTTCCCAAGATCCCTGTGAGGTACAGAAGTACTATTAGTCCCACTTCACAGTTGGGGAATTCAGGCACTACCATTGAAATCAGTGGGAGTTAGGGTACTAGCCTGGGTCTCAGGAGAACCTGTTCCTTGCTCTGCCACAAACTACCTGTATGATCTTGGGAAAGTCACTTATAGCAGGATTTTCAGGCGTATGTAGGAACCTAATTATTGGGCATCCTTTCTCTCTGACTTAGAGTCTTGGAGAGAAAAGTCCTTATTTATCTGTAGAACAGATACAACTAGAGCAGTGACAGTTCTAGCTTCCCCACATCAACCCCTAAATGTGTATCAATCATATTCTAGAGAAATCTCTTTAAAGAATGAGATTAATTTGTTCTCCACACCTAATTATGTTCTTGGCCTCTCTTTTGAGATTGCCAACATAGATGCCATTTACTGCTCTGTATATATATATATATATGTGTGTGTGTGTTTAAGTTTTATAATGTAGACACATGTCCACAAGGACTTGGCGCGATGCTTCCAGTTCGTTTCATATAGCTGGTCACCAAGTAATCATCTGATGATAATGGCTTTTAAACACTAGATTTTCACTTGGGATCTGCTGAATTCTATATACCATTAGTTTTACATAACACATTTTTTGGAATTAGTTTTGTAGCATAATTAGACAGATATATTTGCAGGTAGATATATTTGCATGTATATGAAATGTTGTAGATACAACGATACACCCACATTGTTCCATTAGGTACATCTACCTATTCTGCAAACTATTCAAACATGCAATATCAGAGATCACAAGGCTAAGATCTAAAATTAGTCTTCCTCTCACTATGGGCAAGTGTACACTACAAAATTAAGTCGACCTAAGTTACATCGACATACAGCCACCACAATAATTGATTCAGTTTTACGCATCCACACTACGCTCCTTATGTCAGTGGTGTGCATCCTCCCTAGGAGTGTTTGCACTGATTTAACTGCCAGCGTGGGACATTGTGGGATGGTTTCTGAAAGGCAGCAATAGTCGATATAAGCAACACAGTATACTGACACCGTGTTGACCTAACTACATCGACTTAAGCATGATGCCTCTCCTGGAGATGGAATGATTAAGCCAGTGTAGAGGGCAAGTTACACTGGTGGGAGTTACATTTTAGTGTAGTCGCTTACAGAGTTAGGTCAATGTAACCTGCCTTCCATTGACCTAACTCTGTAGTGTAGACCAGGCCTATATCTGTAAGAGATTGAACATTACAAAGACATCTGGTAAGTTTCTAGGAGTTTAAGGTGCCAATTGTGCCATTCCAAACCCTCATATCAAGTGATTTGTGCAACAGCTTTAGCACAAGCCAATGTGTCTATCCTGTGGGATGTAGGAACAGCACCATATTGTAACTGGTACGGGGAAAACAGATTGAGAAATAAAGAGAAGAAATTCCAACAGTGAAAGGAAAGAAAAAAATCACTATTCCTTTCCAATATAACAATTAAATACTGTTCTGAAGATCATCTGGGCAAAAAAACTATGGGGGTGAACATAAAGTGGTGTAGAAAAGTTCTTTGACTCTAGCCGAGTTTCCCCCCCCCCCCTTTGGGGAGGGGCAGGATTCTTGAATTCTTAACGATGTTTGCATTTCAGTGATCCAGATTAGGCTTTGAAGTTATTATTTGGAAGTACTGAATCTTGGGGATGTTTAAGTCCTTATTCATGCTGTTTTGAGGATGGAGACAGTTTTATGCGGGGCAGTATATCAATTGCCTTGTGAAGGCTATCTTCATAACAGAAGAAATTGGTAACATGCTTTCATTATTAATAAAAAATGATGCCATAGAAAATAACACACCCCGAAAAAAGAACAGTTGTTTTATTAACACTTTATCAGTATTTGCTATTTTATTACATAATTAACATCAATAATATGTTTGAATATATTAATTCATTACTCTGAAGGTTTGGCATGTGAATCATTTTTCTTTAATTACATTTAAAAAAATAAGTTATTTAAAAAATGAATCTCAAAAATTACCTAAATATCTCTTTGATCTAAAGAGAGTCTTTCATGCCAACTAACATACATATTCATAGACATTTTTGTTTTTGTCTTTTTAAAATTGGGATAAAAGGGATAGTTTACAGAATCAAGTACATTAAGAATCTGGTCCAAACCAACCAAATCCAGGAATGAGAGTTAGCGTTAAAACTCTGCCCTCAACCCCTATCTCCGTTGGCCATCCTAAATATGTCAGGCCATGTGGCATGTGAAATTGTTCACTGTCCAGTGACCTATCCAATAACTGGATTATAGGGTAAGGAATGATCTCCTGGTCTTTTTTCATTCATATATTAAATTGCAGTGTTTATCATGTATTGTTATTTGAGAACTCTGTGCCAGATATTTATATTCTTTTGATGTAGATATTGAATTTATTCTCACCTTTAAAATCTCAGTTTATCTGATACATAAGACTTTATATTTTTCAATTCAATTATAGTATGAAATATTTCTTCACTGTGGATTTACAATTATGATGGATAGTTTAGTCCAGAAAGACTGTACATCTGGCGGATATATGAAGGAGATACAATGGAAGTGTTATACAGCCTGAACTTTTTTTGTGCGTTATAAATCACAAATATCGTGTTTGGTTTATGAAGGAGTCCTGTGCCGGATGCTTTATTTCACTTTCTGTGATATAGCCTCCTTTCTTCAAAACAGAAAAATGAACAATCATTTTCCTTTCTCTGTTGGTTTGCACATTGAATACTTTCAGTTAGAAATGATTTGCGAGTGTCATCCCATTATACCATAATTAAAAAGGACAAATATCTAGCTGTTATATCATAGTTAATAAAATTGAGTATAGGTACCCATGAGATTTCAAAACTAGAATGCTAATTTGAATTTACTGTGCTGTAAATATATTAATATCTAAGGGCCTGATTCTGCACCTGTTAAAGTCTGTGGGAATGTAGTCACTGAGAAGTGGGAGCAGTCATCCCTGGACTGTTTCTCCCCCAGCCACGCACCTATATACGCACTTGAATTCTGGCTGTCTATTACAGCCATGGATATTAGTAGCTAAATCTTTATTCTTAAATCATCTTCTGGTACCTTCCCTTTCCTTCAAGATAAATCAGATTTGGAACATACAATATACATTTCAGAGCCCCCTGTTTTCATTTCTTCATTTATTAAAATGTTGATTTGTAGTGGCTATAACATCATTTTCAGGTCCTATAATAAGCTGTTATATAAAACTGTTCAATGCACTGCTGTTGGCAAGCAGAAATCAAAGGAAACTAAGAAGTAATAGGTGGATAGGTTTAGGAGCTGATATAAAACCAAAATAGTAATATAGCAGGTAATTTTCCAGGACAAAAATAAACCCAGGGAGAAGTTAAAAAAAAAGGTCTGCCCTTGAATAAATATCTAAAGCTGTCTCTTCCCACTGGCAAAACAAACAAACAGACAAACAACAACAGTTCAATGCTTTTCCTCAAGCTTTTCTTTCCCTTTCCCATCACCGTTCAGTTTCAGAAGACATTGAATGAATTTGATCACTGAGGTAATATTAGTGAAATGTAATTTGTAATAATTTTCCTACAAAATATATGGATATTATTTACATTTGACTTAAATTAGGAAATCTGAAAACAGAGTATATCAGTTTGTATTAAGCGTTGCCTCTACCTTCTGATTTGCAAGAATCCTTAAAATATAAAGAATGCCTTACTCTGCATAGAAAAAAAATATTGGAATTGTTCTAATACTAATGTTAGTAGTGATGTTGTATGGCCACCTCTTCGTAGAATGTACATGGGTAAACCTTTCTTTCTCTGTTTTATTTATCATCCCTTTTTGTAGTAGATGCTACCATTATGATATCAAGAACTAAACTAGCCAGCTACCTCATGAACAATTTGTAGGTCTTGCATGCTGTTCCCTGTCTGTTTCCTTAATTCCAACTGCAGTTCACGTTTGCATTCCTCAACAGCTCACTGATCAGTAATTTATTTCCAGACTTCTGCTTACCAATTATCAATGGAAGGTTATAATCGAAGCTGGACTTAGTAACATACATAGCTTAATTTAAAATAAAAAAGTCATTATGAAGCGAGATTAATCTGTGATGAAAGCTTCTTCTTTTTATCATTTATCTAAATGATTGCCCTCTGTTCTCAAGCACTTGTTGATAATTCAAAGGAAATTCTTATTTGCTGAAAAATTGTTTTTCACAGTGAGAGATAACACATAACTATTACTAATATAAATCAAATTGCAATGCAGAACTGGGGCAGAATTTTAAATACTAATCCTTACCCAGAAGATCAAGCTTATCAAGTTCTTTATGGTGTAGACTGGTGAATAAGCTACATTACATGAATCTTGTTGTAGGTGTTCAGATTTTTTCCTAGTTCTCTTTCAGTGAGTTATGACACTTTTTTTGTAATTCTAATGCACTGGTTGTAAATACAATATTTATAACTGATCTTGTTCATTTTTGACACATATATATTCCAAAACATTCAGTTTACTCTACAAATAAAGGGAAAAAATACCTCTCTACAATTGTGCTCTTTCTTTATGCTGTTGAATATCAATCTGAGACAATAGTATTTATTCCATTTTACTCCAAAGACTTCAGACACTACTCCTCCCTCAAGAAATTTAAGCCAACAATTTAAGGAATCAGAGTCAGGAAATATTCAGTTGAAATACCAGTCTGAAGGTAGTCAATGGAAGTATTGCTTGTCATTGAAATCTTAATAGCTTTAAAGGATTTGTAAGCAAACAGTTTTCAGTTGGTGGAGACAAGTGTTTGCTGATATAGTGAGCATTAACACATTTGTCAATAGTATCTGCAGCCATGTCACATCGGACTACAGCTACCTTCGTGCCACTAATTACTGTAATTTACTATGGGACTCTCTCCAGTCACTAGAGTGGCTTGATGATGGTAAGAACTACTATGGTGGCAATGATAACTAACTCTGAAGAATTAACTAAAAGGATGGTCTTAGTAAATCATTTTCCTCGCACACTCGATTGCTACGTACATTCACCTGTTTTGTCAGAACTGCTTTTAGTAATTCATAGTCTCTGTCTATATACATTCATATACACACAAACAATTGCTTTATAGGAGTCATTAGTATTTAGTTTTCAAAAGCGAATTCTCAGATTTCTTATTACTGAAATTTCATTCTTTTTGTAAGATCCATGTTCACCAATTTTTTTCCCATTTGTACCTTATTAAGTATTAACAAGCAATGATCTGCTGCCATCACCTGTAAGTTGAGTTAGTCTTGTACCTGAATGGGTTCTAGGAAGTAAGGTTCACAAGAGATTCTGAGAAGTGAATCATCATCACACTTCTTCTCATGATTGTTTTGCACACTGTGACATTCTGGCAGTACCTCTCTTTGTAAATGGTGGCATTGACTGGTGAAGACCAAAATGATCAGATCTTTTGTTGGTGGAATGAAGGCAGTGGAAAGAGTTCTAGTAAGATTTCTCTTCCTATCTCTCTTTTCACCCACCATGTTCTTTCTCATCTGTCAGCAGCTTGTCATGATGCTGAAGCTTATATCTACAGTTTCTTTCTCTTTCCTGCTTGCAGGCATGGATCTCTTCTCCAATTGCACAGAGGAATGTAAAGCGCTGGGCCACTCGGATCGGTGCTGGATGCCCTCCTTTGTCGCATCCGATGGACGCCAGGCTGCAGATTATCGCAGCAATCTGCATGTGCCCGGTATGGACTCTGTTCCAGACACTGAAGTGTTTGAAACACCAGAAGCCCAGCCTGGAACAGAGAGGTCCTTTTCCACCTTCGGCAAGGAGAAGGCCCTTCACAATACTCTGGAGAGGAAGGAGTTGGATGGACTGCTGACTAATACACGAGCGCCTTACAAACCACCATATTTGAGTAAGTACTATTCAGAAGGCTGCGTGAAAATGTTCCCTTTGCGGGAATAAAACTTGGCTCTCTGCTATCCTTACTATGAATAGTACAGTCAGAGTATTGGAGGCAATGAGAACAAAAATTACTGCTCATGGATTCAGATACCACTGAAAAGGACATTGTTGAATCTACTTAAAAAAGAAAAGACTTTGTGTCATGATATTAGGTCACTGTTGCTAGCAGCACAAACAGTATAAGGTGATGGCAAGCTAAATTTTTCTTTACATTTTAGCTGCTCCAGGTGCCTCATTTTCTTATTGATACTGAATATTGTTCATCAAGCAGTGCTGGTATCATACCTACATTGCTAACGTGAGGCAGGGTTTGGAAGGCAGCAGATGAGTCTTTTTTTTTTTTCCCACACTGTTCTCACTATCTTTTACTTTCTTGGTCATCCTACAAGATATAAACTTGTGTATTCTGCTCAGTGCTTTCTATCTTGTTCTGAATTCTTACCTCTTTTATAGTCATCATTGTGGTTGGGTGACACAAAAGACAGTATGTAGACATAGGAAAGATAGTTAATTATGCGTTTTGGATTCTGAGCTAAAAGGTGTACACTAAAATCATACTTTGGTCTAAGATGTTTTCCCACTATATTTACTAGCCCATTGTATTTTATTAAGACACTACAAGATCTCCCTTGACTTGAAGAGTGTATGATGCTCATTTAGTCTGTGTGACTGGAGCCAAGGAGGCTGTGTTATACCTGTGATCATTCTTAGAGCATCAGCAGTCCCTTAGGACAGTAGATGAGGTGAGGAATGTTTCTCTGGAGTGGGCTTTTTATTTAATTTTTAAATTTCATATGAATTCAGTAGTTGTGAAAGGTGCTGCACCGAGAGCCCTGGAAACTGAAGTCTGTCTCCAGAAATATTCAGCATGGACAGCAGTGGTGCTTGTTTCTCTGATCTCTGTCAGCTCTGTCCTGATAGTGTGAGGGTACCTTTCAAAGTTTGAGGGTAGTTCAGTCTTCTTACCCATTCAGTCCTTGGATTTTCTGTTGAAACTATGAAAAAGGTTGGAAAATTATTAGTTTTGTGATGTGCACACTCACTTATAAGGAACTGGCCTGAGGCAAGCATCTCATTTCCCACAGGCCAAAAACACAGCCATCGGCTAGCAATGTCTCCTATACTCTTCTGACAAAGGTCAAATGTGAACAGTTGACCTTGTAGTGAACTCTTCTGTTTTTCATTACCAATCCCCCATAACCATCCAGTCTTCCAAAAGTGTCTTTTAATATTAGGGCACATTCTTGCCATGCATTATTAATTTCATCTTCATAATTTCAACTAAAATGTTTGGATTTTATAGCACTTCCAGCCTCATTATGACAATGTCTCTGTTTTTGTTCAGTTTAGATACATACATTTGTTATAGTGAGGATTATCCATAACAATGCAAAACTGATGCTTCTGTTTAATTGTTCTATGTTTTGGAGGTTGATTATTTTAAAATAAATGTGCCTTTTCCTGTTAGTTTAGTTTTTAAACTTGTGTGCAGTTAATATAAACTATTCAGCTTATAAGTCTGTAAGCATATTGTCTCATAGTTTAAACTTTATTTTCCTAACAAACTATGGCATGAGAAAATAAAATAGTTGAGGCAACATTGGAAGGAGTGAGTGGTATGTTGTGAACCAGATTCAGCAAAATTAAATCTGGACTCTGAATTGCACTGGACTTCCAATACAAACCTTCAAAAAAATCTAAATTAATATTTCTGTCTTCTATTTTCCCATATTAAATGTTTTCATTAGTACAATTTTAGATTTTAAAATGTATAGCAAATAATAAAAGAAGAAAAGAAAGTGAACCTATTACACTGTAAAGCTGAGCAGATAATTCACAATGAATAATTTATTCATTGAACAAGAAAAGAGAAGAGGCTAGTCTCAATTTACTGTTAAGGAATGCACAGGAGATGCATTCTCCAGTTCAGGAAATAACTATAGTTGAGCCACTAATTAATAGTGACCACAATATAATTAAGTTTAATATCCTCCTGGGAGGAATTGCACCAAAAAGTGGTATGGTGATAATAAATTTTAGAAAGGGTGATTTTTTTTTTAAAGAAGCTAGTCTAAAAGGGCCCTCAAGCGAGGAAAATAAAATCTATTTAAGCACACCGTACCAGAATCATAGCACATATGAAAAACCCTAAGTTAAAAGAAAGCAGGAAGGTAAGAAAAAAGAAAACATATGGTTAAATTGCAAGAGAGAAGAGGATTACTTGAGATAAATAGGTACAATTTAAAAAATACTTAGCTTAAGTAAACCCAGTAGGAAGAATCATAAATTAAAACAGATAAATTGTAAGATTGAAATTAGGAGAGATAAGAGGGTCTTTTTAGAACAAATAGCCAAAGATATGAAAACTAATACCAATTTTTTTTTATTCTTTTTAGTATGTCAGAGGTAGGAAGCCTGTGAGAGAACAGGTAGGTCTGTTGATCTGCAATTATTGAGGGTAAAGATATCACAGAGAAGCTAAATAGTATATTTTCATTGGTCTTTACAAAAAGAGTGTTACGGAAACTACCTACCCCAGACCAATTTTTTTTTTAAGTAAAGATGAGAAAAATGAAACTGAGGTGTGAAAAGATGAGGGGACTGAATAAATGGATACATTAAATAGAAACAAGACACTAGCACCAGATGGTATTCATCAAGAGTTCTGAAGGAAGTTTAGAATGAAATGGCAGAATTTGTAACAAAAATAAGCTATTGTGGGGGGGTGTCTAATAGGTGGGAAATGTAGTAGCTTTCATTGGAGGAGGGGTCCCCAGTCAGCAAGCCAGAATCTTTAGTCAAGTTCTTTCAATACTAATGTGATCCTGAATAAGTAATATACAAAGTAATATGTTAATGTTTTATTGTAAGTATGCCTTAATAAAAAGTGTTGTTGTTTTTTAAAAGACACTAAGCATGCTCCTGAAAATTATGGGCCAGTACGCCTTCTCAATTTAGTACCAGGTATATGGCTGAAGTGGTAATGAAAGATGGAGTTTTAAAAAAATATACAATTATGAATATAATATATTAGGAACAAACCAGCATGTCTTCTGTAAAAGAAAATCCTGCCTCTTCAATCTATTAGAATTCTTTGAGGATGTTTAAGCAATGGTGGGTAAAAAAGAATTGGTTGATAAGATGAACTTTGTCAAAAGCTTTTTGAATGTTCAGACAAATTCTAAGAGGCTATTAAAGTGACTAAGCATAGTCACAGGGTTAGAGATAAAGTATTATCACACATTTGAAACTGTCTAAGAGAGAGAAAATTATTAGGAATAAATTGATTGTTTTTAGCACCAACAGAAGGTTAACAATCGGGTCCCACACCGATTAATATATTTAATGAGGTGGAAAAAGGGATGAAAAGTGAGAGGGGGAAATTTGCAGATGACAGTAAATTATTTTGGTTAGTACAGTGTTTCTCAACCAGGGGTACATGTACCCCTGTGGATATGCTGAGGCCTTCCAGGAGATACATCAATTCATCTAGATCGCTAGTCCTTGTTGTAAAACTAGGCAACTAAGTCAGTACAAACTAAAATTTCATACAGATAATGACTTGCTTATACTGCTCTACATACTATACGCTGAAATGTAAGTACAATATTTGTATTCCATTTGATTTATTTTGTGATTATATGGTAAAAATGAGGAGGTAAGTAATTTGTCAGTAATAGTGTGCTGTGAAACTTTTTTGTATGTTTATGTCTGATTTTGTAAGCAAGTAATTTTTAAGTGAGGTGAAACTTGGGGTATGCAAGACATATCAGACTCCTGAAAGGGGTAAAGTAGTCTGAAAAGGTTGAGAACCACTGCTATAGTATCAAGTATCAGGGGGGTAGCCGTGTTAGTCTGTATCTACAAAAACAACAAGGAGTCTGGTGGCACCTTAAAGACTAACAGATTTATTTGGGCATAAGCTTTCGTGGGTAAAAACCTCACTTCTTCGGATACATAGAGTGAAAGTTACAGATGCAGGCATTATATACTGACACATGGAGAGCAGGGAGTTACTTTGCAAGTATTTTTGGGAGTGGACTACATCCACCCTGATTGAATTGGCCCTGTCAACACTGGTTCTCCACTTGTGAAGTAACTCCCTGCTCTCCATGTGTCAGTATATAATGCCTGCATCTGTAACTTTCACTCTATGCATCCGAAGAAGTGAGGTTTTTACCCACGAAAGCTTATGCCCAAATAAATCTGTTAGTCTTTAAGGTGCCACCAGACGCCTTACTGCTATAGTAGACTGTGAGGAATTTCAGATAGACTTAGCAAAGCTAGGGGAATGGGAACATAATATATACTGGAAAGAGTTATTTGAACTATTCTTGTACCTTTATAAATTATAAATTAACTGTTAGCACTGAGAAAAAAAGACTTTAAAATCACTGAGGACAATGTAATGAAAAGCATCTGGTTCATGTGCACTGGTAGTTAAAACAGTAAAGAAAATGCTACGTTGTACAAATAATGGAATAGAAAATATACTGAAAATATTATAATGCCATTATGTAAATTCATCATACCCTCTCACCTTATTGCTGTGTTCAGTTCTGGTCACTCCAATTGAAAAATAACAAACAAAAAAACCAAACACTGAAAAACTCGTAACATAATGATTAGAGACATGAATATACTTCTGTGTGAAGAAGTACTGGAAAGATTAGTACTGATTAGTTTAGGGAAGATGTGAAAGGGAACATGAGGAATACAGAATAATAAATGATACAGAGAAAGTAAATTAAGCAGTCCCATTTACACTTTCTTATAACAAGAGAATGAGGGGGCAACAAAGGAACTGCAAAACAATCAATTTAAAATTCATAAAAGGGAACTACTTTTGATACAATTCACAGTTAACCTCATTGTTATGAGATGTAATTGAAACCATGAACTCTGTAGAATTTAAAAGTAGTATCAGACATTTGTATGGATAAATGAGAACATCAGCAATCACATTAGAAAGTATGATGATATAGAAAGGGATATAAATCCTCATGTTTCAAAGGAGTTCAGAAGAAACATCTCCTATGAGCAGATTATTCCATTATAGGTTTTTCTTCACCTTCCTCAAAAGCATCTGGAACGGGCCTGTGTCAGAGGCAGGACATCAGACTAGCTGAACCACTGAATTTATTCAATATAGCAATTCCTATGTTCCTGTGAATTTAGCTTATTTTTATGCTAATGGAACATCCACGAGCAGATCAGGATATCCTCAAATTCCTTTGTTATACTAGGTTATTTGATTAATATCTTTTCAAAATTTTCACTGTGTGGATTTATCATAAATATTTGAAATTCACGCTGTGCTGCTTAGTTGTGACTCAGGCAATAAATCACAGGGCCCTTTACTCATTTCTGATTGGATGAATGAACAAGCGTTACTAAATTGAATACTTGTGCATGCAAATTTAAAAATTCATTTTCCTCAAGTAGTCAGGCATAGACTTGAAACTGACTTTCTGCAAACATCTTTCCTATTAAAACTTGATCATTTGAAGGGTCACAGAAATCAAATCCTGAACATGGACTAGAGCAAATTCATTTAAAAATTTGAATGAATATTGGGGTGGGGAGAATTGCATTTTCCCCCCAGCTCTAATTCTAAACCTTTGTTGTTCTTCTGCTAACAGATGTTTGTTGTTTTTGTGGTCTAATCTCCTTGGGCCAGGACTGTGTCCCACTACATATCTGTACAGCACCCAGCACAATGGGGCCCCAATCCTCATTGGGGCTTCTGGACCAAAGGGATTAGACCAGGGGTCGGCAACGTTTGGCATGTGGCTCACCAGGGTAAGCACCCTAGCGGGCCGGGCCAGTTTATTTAGCTGCTGACGCGGCAGGTTCGGCCGATCGCAGCCCCCACTGGCCGTGGTTCGCCGTCCCGGGCCAATGGGGGCGGCGGGAAGCCGCGGCCAGCACATCCCTCACCCGCGCCACTTCCCGCTGCCCCCATTGGCCCAGGGCTGCGAACCACGGCCGAACCTGCCGCGTCAGCAGGTAAATAAACTGGCCTGGCCCGCTAGGGTGCTTACCCTGGCGAGCCGCGTGCCAAACGTTGCCAATCTCTGGATTAGACCATCAACCTGTTCCTAATCACCTAGGACCAGATCATGAGATGGTATAAACTGGCATAGTTTAATTGAGTTCAGTGGAGCCATACTGACTTCCAGCAGCTGAGAATTTGACCCTTAATTTTAAAAAATGCATTGACTTTCATCCTATTTAAACACGTTTGTGTATCTTGTGGGTCATCCTTGATTGACAGATAGATAGATAGATAGATAGATAGATAGATAGATAGATAGATAGATAGAAATACTTTTGAGAGCTTCTGAGAGTTGTGAATTGATATCAATAGAGAATTATTTTTTCTTATCAGCAGCAGAACAGGCACAACATGGACAGCGGCAATGTAAGGCAGGAACTAACCAAGCTTAGCTACACTATTCACCAATGTGCCTCAACCTGGACCTGGAGTCTCCCTACATTTATAATCTTTGACCACGATTATGGTTATGATTTTGTTTGATATGAACTCCAGGGCTCCCGTCCTGCAAAGACTTAGGTACATGCTTAACTTTGCATGCATGTAGCTTAACTTCCCATTGAAGTCAACAGAATTGCTCTTATGCATCAAGTTAAGTATATGCATATATCTTTGAAGAACTGATTGCCTAGGAACTGGACTATCAACTAATCTCAAACAAGCTACCAAAGAACAATAATAAGGTATGTTTTTTTTTCCCTCCCTCAGCCATTATTAGGATTAGCAGAATTCAGGTTTTTTAATATAATTTTAATGGTTAATGTCAATGTTTATTTTTAAGCATTTTTTATTTGTATCAAATGAAATTTTCACTGGTATGGGAAACTGGGGGAGGTCAGACAGTGGGGGCTCGGACAATAATAATTTATCGACAATAGATGTTGAAATTCAAAAGTTAAAGCTTTATAACTGTTTAAACATAAATTTTCAATATCACATGTTAAAATATACAAAGTAAATATCCTTAAATCAAACTCTAATAAGTTCTCAAGCAACATTTTTATTACTTTAATTTTCTGAAATTCTGATTATCATCGATGGATATATATATTTTTATTGGTTTGTGTGTGTATGGACATATCAATGTTTACCAACATTTACTGTTAAAAATCTGATCCTTCCAAACGTAGTCATTATCCATCAACTTGAATCGGTTTAGAATAAATGACCCAGAAGTAAAAAGTGTTCCATATCTTTTTAACATTACACGGAGTCAGTCGCTGCCCTGTGGTGATTTTTCGCAAGGAATAAAAGTGTGTTGATAAGGATTTTTAATTTATTTATTTACTGGAATTTGGGTGTCCCTAGTATCAAAGAGAAATGTTACTTCATGATAGCATATATACCACAGAACACTTTTCAACAAAAGGTAAAAGCAAATCGAGGAAAAACACATTTCATTAAGAATTCCATTGTATTTTTTGGAAAAATTAAAAATCAATCATGTAATTAGTGAGGCTCTTATGTGGTCAGTACTGTGAAAGCAGAATTTTCTTTTCTTTTTGTGTAGTTATGCCTTCTTTCTGAAAAATTGTTTGCATAGTTTTACCATGGCTTTAAAGTATAATAAAAATAAATAGGTACCAAACAAACCATACATTCACCAATATTGTGGCATTACCAAAAAAAAAGAAAAAGTAACATTTGGGAAAAAAAATAGGTGCTTGATTTCTAAAAGGAGAGGATAGTGGCCTTGTACCCATTTTTGCATGTGCATTTATGCGCTTATAATTTCTCACACGGTTGTACAAACAAAGCAGATATTGGTATCACAAAGATTAGCTGGGCCCCTAACTTTTCTCATGTAAATGCAGAATTTTCATGTAAAATTGAGGTACATATTTGCAATCAAATATATATAAACATGCACAAAAATGCATGTGCAGTTGGGTTCTTACTTCTAAAAATTGACTGTAAGGGTTGAATTTTTCAAAGATGGCTTCAAACAAGTCTGCACTGAAATGCACAAGTTCGAGTACTATTATTTGGGTGTGCAAGCAAAAGAATGTGTATGCGTAAAACTTTATATGCATGCATGAGTGAGTTATGCATGTGCAAATTCTATCATTTTGTGCACAAAGATGGCTAAAAAGTTGCTCCTCATCCTGTAGTCTGACCTGTAAAGGTGATCCCTTTACATTGGCATGGAGTCCCAGTAGAGTGAATGGAATTCTTCCTGGGCACCCATATGACTCAGATTTCAGGATCCAGGCTTTTATGTGCAAATGATTTGCACGCACAAAATTGCACACACAAAAATTGAAGGCTGAGTTGCATAGATAGCTTTTAATGCCTATAACCCAATTGTGCATTTGGCCTATTCTTCTAAGCACCACAAGGGACTCTTGGATTTCCCACTGTCATTTTTAAAATGCTGAGAGACAGAAGCTGTTATATAAGTAAAACTTATCAGCCTAAATTTGTTGTGGGACATTAAAAGTAATTTAAGCTATATTTCTAAATAAAATAAAGTACTTAAAAATCTTGTTATAGGAATGAATAAGGTAAGCATGAGAGGTGATATGTGTTCACTGATTACAGTAAGTACTCTATGACCCTACATAAATTACTCATGATCATTCACTGCTCAGCCATTATTGAGTAACTTATGTAATGTTTTTAAAACTCCTGTTCTTCACTATTTTATATTCTTCATGTGACTGTATTCCTCTTGCAGTCATGTCTCAAAGGGAATAATGGTAACAGGTAATGCAATAATAGTTAGAGAGGAAATGGATAAGTCACATGGCAAAATCAAGAAGGAAAAGTTTAGAAAATGCAGAAATAACTGAATATGTTCATTTTAATATGGCCTAATAAAATTTACCCTGGAGTGATGTTATTTTAATTGAATTGTACCATTTTTTAACATGAAGAAAAATGAGAGACTCATTCAATTTTCCATTCTAAACCAGGAATATTAGCTGCCTTATTTAGGCAATATTTACCTGAGTCTTTTTATATAGCTAAGACACTAGACAGAACTTCATAGTATCCCTCTATATTATAAAATAGTGAGGAATGCAATAGTAAGTATACCAGTGGTTCTCAAACATTTGTATTGTTGACCCCTTTCACATAGCAAGCCTCTGAGTGTGACCCCCCTTATAAATTAAAAACACTTTTTAATATATTTAACACCATTATAAATGCTGGATGCAAAGCAGGGTTTGGGGTTGACGCCGACTGCTCGCGACCCCCCACATAATAATCTTGCGACTCCTTGAAGGGTCTCGACCCCCAGTTTGAGAACCCCTGAAGTATAGGGAACACTTTTTCCACCACTGAAATGCAGCCACTTCTGGAATGAAATACCACAAATATCAGCAACTCACAACAGTTTAGGGCAAAAAGTAAAGAATACATTTTCTGTTTGGTTTAAAGAGGGATTTGTTGTGAGGCAGGCAACTTGAATTTGACCAGGTTTCTTGAATTTACCCCTATACTTTTATGAAAGGTGCCATGAGCTCTTTTATATCAAGTTGTTGCAATCTTGTTTTTACATCTCACTGAAAGACAGCAGACTTCTTCCTCACCCCCCCCCCCCTGCAAACACACACACACCATTTTAGAACAGTGGTTGAGTAATGTCAGGGTATGTCTCCACTGCAGTTAAAAATGTGTGGCTGGTCCATGCCAGCTGACTCAGACTAAGGGGCTGTTTAACCGTGAGGTAAATATTGGGGCTCAGGCTGGCAAGGTGTGATGGTCTCAGAGCTCGAGCCCAAATGTTTACACCACAGTAAAACAACTCCTTAGCTTTGGGGTTTTAATTGCAGTGTAGCCATACCATCAGAAAATAGAGTGTCATCTTCTGAATCACCAACACTAAAGTATTAAAGAAACTAACAAAAAATCTGATGAATACATTGTCGGTTATTTTTGAGAATGCTGTGTCTGTCATCATAGGGTAAGATTTTCAAAGCATCTCAGTGACTTAGCAGTCAGTCTCATTTTCAAAAGTGTCTTCGGCAACAGTACTTAGGCTCCCAAATCACTTAGGTGGCTTTGAAAATTTTACTCACGGTAGGCATGCAATGTTTTATAGAAGTCAATGCTAGCATCACATTCATTATGAAGGCCCACTGCCTCTGTCCTTTTCTCTGGTGATTGACACTGGAGTGCGGAACAGAACTTGCTTCTCCCCCTGGCTCTATTTAAAGTAGATTCTCCTCACCACAGCTTCAACATATGCTCTCCACAATGGAGGCGGGACCCCAAGTGGTTCTTGCTCACAGCTCACTCCAGGGCAAAATGATCTTCTTCATACACCCACACTAGTTAGCTCCTGTTCCTTTGCTTGTCTTCTCACTGTTCTATATACAGCAAAACCTTGAACACACCCTCCAAAAGGCTCTGCTTCTCCTTCCTCCACTTTCATTTGTAAAGGCACATCCCCTTTCCCAACTGCTTTTTTTCCCTTCAGGGAAGGAAAGAGGACAACAGTTTAAAGAACATGATAAATAATTGGGCGGGGAGGCAAGGAAAAGCAGTCCTCAGGAGTAACTGCACTGATATCTTGACATTTACACATGAACACTCTAATGTCCAGTACCACATTGTTACCTGACAAGCCCTCTTCTCCATAGACTGTGCTTCAACTTTGTTCTCACATGTCAGCCACTGACCATGCCAAGAGATTCATGCTAGCAATGGAGATAGCTGCTGGCATGAAGCTACTGTGAATATCGTTAATTTATTTTCAGAAGTCACTTCAGTCTAGTGAGATCTCAGAGGATTGGAAAATGACACACATAGTAACTTGTTTTAAGAAAGGGAAAAGGGAGACCCAGGTAATTAGACCATTAAGTTTAACTTCAGTTCCTGGTAAATTGCTTAAAAAAAGTGAATAAAGCAGTCAGACTCAGTTTGTAAGCACCAAGAGTAAAATAACATGATGATTGGTGAGCAATGTGGATTCATGAAAACCAAATTAGACTAAACTAATTTAATTTATTTCTTTGATAGGAAAACAATCTTTATTGGTTACAGAAAATATAGTCAACATAGTGAAGCAAGTCTTCATGTTCCTAAATTCTACCTGCAAAATGTGTGCATGCATGAGTTGCAAGAATAAAACCTGTATTTGAATGTACACATAATTGCCAGTTTTACATATTCTGTTGTAGTATTTAAGCATGCAATATGTACTGTCCAGATCTGTGGTGTGCAATCCAGAATTCTGGTTTCAAAAATTCAGAAATGTGGTCAAGCATATCTTCTTGATATAGAGTTTCCTATTGTTTTACATGACATTTTCATCGGTAAGCTGAAATAATGTAATGTATAATGATGGATGTGGAGTCAATTAAGAGGGACTGATGATGAACAGTGCTTCAACGCAACCTTCCTTCCTGGTTCTGCAATATTTCACGTGGGCCTTTGAACCCTTAAGTACAGTCAGTTCAACTACCTGGCTATGCTTTCATATGACATCTAAATTACAGCAAATTCACACTCACATGACATCTAAATGTGTCGCACATAACTTTGAGTGCAAAAAGGAAGGGTGGATTTTAAAAAACTAGCTCACAAATAACAAAAAGCAGTAATTGTTGTTATAATGGGCTTATATATATAGCTAGGGAGAGGATATTTGTAGTATCTTGAAGTAGCCTATTCTAGACTCATTATTGACTTGGAAGATACTGTGGAGATATGTGATAATCATATTTTTAAACAA